TTAATAGAGTAATGAGGAGAAAGGAAGTGCAAATATGGAGAAAGAAGGATGTGTCAGAGCAATGGAATTCATAAAGAACCAAGGTTTAGATGTAGGACTGTTTGTATCTGATTGGCACATACAAGTGTCTAAGTGGATGCTTCAGGAAATGCCTGAGACCGTTCACAAATATGATGTGGGGCATATTGCAAGAAATAGATTTGTAGTGGAATGTACTGTATTATTTTTCATGCATATACATATAGGTTTTCAGAAGAAGGTTGATAAATTGGGAAAGCAAAAAGATTGTGAAAGTGCTGAACAATGGGACGCAGTATGACTAATCATCTCTACTGGTCTGTCATGTCATCAGAAGATGAGAATAGTTTACTAGTGAAAGAAAAATGGCTCTCCTTAATTAATCACTTACATAACAAACACAAAGGCCATGGTACTATATTCAAAAATGTCAACATGGTCGTGTAAAGAAAAAAAATTGGCTTAAGTACAGTTAAATAAGACTAAAATATTACTTACACTTGTACTTTAACTAGATACTAAAGTTAGTGAAAAGCTTACAGATATTATATCCAATAAACGGCTTTGCAATGACATCATAATGGCATCTAACACCTATCAAACGTTGCTATTAGAAGCTTATCTTAGTTTTATAAATACAAATCATTCATGACAGGGTAAACCTTTGGATACTTGCATCAACTGTGAATTGTGATGCTGGTGTTATTCATATTTTTTACTCTGTTTATCAATTGGTGAACAAAGAGACTGTGAAGGTTATTACGAAATTATTTGACCTCCCGGCTGATCCAGTCTTTAAAGTGATAGGTGACATGTAAGAGCAGCATGGTGGCATTGATTGCGGTCTATTTGCAATAGCCGTTGCTGTGAACATTTTACAGCAGGTTGCTGCTACTAGCTTTTCTTTTTGTCAAGCAAAGATGAGGCTCCACCTCCACGACTGCTACGTTAACAAATCCCTTTCAATATTTCCCAAGAAATAATGATTTATTACACGTTTCACTTATTGATGATTTATCATGTAATTAATATTTTAATTCAATCACTAATAGTCTCAATCAAAAATAATTAATTGACAAATCTGATTATTAATGAAATAAAGTATTAATCAAATAGAATTCCAGCGCCCTTAAAATTATTAATAATCACGTCAGGTTTTAGTGAAATGTAGTCATACAGGCTGATCAACCAACATGCACCAACATGCTTCATTGTGAACATTCGAAGGTAAACAGATGGTGAAGAGACCTCTTGCTGTGCCAGTTGTTTCTTTACAGGAACTCTTTTATAGACTTGTTGGCGCTGACATCAAGAGGCTGCAGACAATTTGTACCTGGCACTATTACTAATCAAATCTTGTTGTCCGCCAAAAGTGAATAGATTCTTTCGGTACATTGACCTTTAAATCAGTCAAATGTGACTAAACTAGGATGATCTGGGTTAAGATGTAGATCCCTCTTTTTCTTCTCTAAGTAAGAAATCATGATCCTTCTAATGTACCTTTCTGTTTTACTTTCAGTAGCCCAGTAGTTAGCTTTAATGTTACGTACCACTCATTTGGAAAGGTGACATTGGGAAGACACTGTGCTGTCTTTCCACTATGAAGGACTTGGAAGGGAAGTATGTCTCCATTCATTGAACCAGCAACTACAAGTGTAATGTGTCATTTATCAGTTAATCCACCTATTTCTACTCTCTTTGAGCCTTCTTCTGCCATTGTCCAGCTGCTGACAGGAACGTAATTGATTCCAGTATGATCCCAATTTACTGTCATTTTCTTGGGAATTTCATCAAATTCCGTTGTAGTACGGACATCAAATATAAACTGGTCTTTGTACTCCTCAAAAGCGGCCACAAAAAGTTTACTCTTTGTATTGCTCTTCATTTTACATAGCCAATTTGTGTCATAAAAGAGAGACCAGTGATTTTTACATATTATGTGCTCACCATTAAACTTCAACAAGTTGGCTTTTCACGATTCCTTCAGCAGCTACAATAACTATTGCTGTATTGATCACTGCAACAGATTCCCATTTCTATAGACTTACAGTTGTTTGTCTAACGACTCACCAAGCAAGAATGGACGCCCTCTTGTCTTACTTGGTAATTCATCCACTTGCATTTCTCTTGAAGTTGTTCCTTAGTACCAGTTCCTTGTTGTATTCCTTTGCCCATGACTTTACTGTGCTTTTTTTGAGTCGCCTCTCTTCAAAATCCTGATCAAGAAATTTTAATGTTATTAGTGACTCCCATTTTCACGTGTCTTCTACCTATCCTAGCTTTCTCCTTTGCTGTGTATATAGAGTATGGCCCTTTTGATCGCTTTTGCTTTGGTTTTTCTCCATCTACACCATTCTTCCTTACTTTGAGAACAGATTGGACTATACCATTGGCTGCCTGGATAGAAGATAAAGGAATCTCGCTTTTAAGAGAACCAGTTGGATCTGGAAGTGTCAAAATAGCTTTAGAGAAGTACTTCTACAGTGCCATTTGTTAAGCACAAGTACACATGTGTGATGAAACCACACCCTGTAAGAACTGTCTATGGATATATGTTAATTGACCACACCTTTTGTAATTAACATTTTTACGTAATAAAATTTTGCAAATGTAGAGTTAAACGTAAAATTTGCAAAAATAATTTATCACGAAAATAAACCGGTATACGGTAATAGAAGATAATGACTGGACTGAGTCATATAGAAAATTCAATACGTACTTTTGCCAAGGAAATCTACCTTTCCTGAGAGTAAATTGCTTTCCAGCTAGACCACAGAGAACACGAACTCTACATTATTAGTTGTGGTAGATCGTTGGGTATCAGGAATTAATCTAATATCACTATTTTGCTGTCTCTTCTACTTAACACTTTCTATGTTTGTTTTCGAGGCAATTACAGTTTCTCGAGTAAGACCCAAAACACTTAGTATTCCTTCAGAAAAACATAGTAACAATGAATATTACCACTACACATGCAAATACTTACCTATTCACTACTAGCAAACTGAAGTCATAATCAGTCTGATGCCAAAGCATAAGTTCATCTAGTATTAGCTAGATGATGCTAATGTGGTGATATGCTAGCACTTTTGCATGTTCAACAGACTTTTCTTCATCCTGTTATTGCAGGAAGTGTTAATGCAGATGTATCATTTGTAGAGCTTCTGTAGATCATTTTAACTAAAGCCTGTCTGGTCCTCTGAGTCTAGTACTTTTAGCTATTTTCTGTGATAGTAAATTATTTACTGTTGCTTGCATGAAATTTGTACCTCTAGTGTATTCGCAAAATCTTCAATCTCATGGAATACTTTCTTAGTGATGCGGTGTATCTCAGGTACATAAATATAACTTTGAAATAAAATATCTTTTATATTCCAAGCACATATTTCATGCCAATATTTAAGCTGTGCTAACTGAAACATAGTATAGCTTTCTTTACTTTCTTCTATATAATTCAACACAATTAATGTAATGTAATGCATATATATCAGATTCAATAAACATTCTAGTATTTAGCCAAGATGCAACTGCAAAAATGTACATGTATCACATATCATAGTAAATTTAAGCATATGTTGAAACATGCTTTCATTTCATGGTGTGTAAGAGTATCTAGGAGGTACTATCTCCATTCGAATTTATTTTGAAGCAATATGTTGGTTAGCACCTTCAAATTTATTTCAATTATAAATATTTGACAGTATATCATATGTGACCATAATTGACAAAAGGTGCCTTATGGCGGACTTTTACATTCATCAATATAATGAAAAATATCAACTTGTGAGTGCTCTGTTACTAAACCATTCTTTCTAAAAGTTACATAGTAACTTTTGCATCCTCTGCAGTATTTGTACAATAAATTGAGGTCAGGAAGTTGAATTTCTTTAGGCTATAAACACCACTTTTTCTATCCGCTATAAGGTACCTTTTGTCAATTATGGTCACATATGTGACCCAATATGAGAAAACCAGGCTATCTGCGGGAATTATCAATTAGAGATATGGCTTCTTAAAGTTGTGACAGCCGTACCTTATCAAAACTGAGATTATACCAAAAATATATTGTATAAAGAATTTTCTTTCATTTGATACCAAGTTTGCCCTAAAATAACTTGAAAGAGGTCATTTACAGACCTTTCTTTTTGTTGTGTACCATGTAAATAATGCAAGATATAATGATAAAAAATGGCTGTAACTCAATTTCATTCGTTTAGACTTCTTGTTGCATAAATAAGCATAACTCAGCACTAGATGTGTCAAATGACATGGAAGAAGGACCAAAAGATAGGAAAAACGTTGCTTAATTAAGAAAACCATAAATCTCAATTTTAAATTTTGGAGCATATAGCCTGGTTTTCTCATATCGGGTCACATATGATACAGCTACATTACACTTAACAGCACATATTTTGCCTTTTTTAGACACTTTTTAGATGAGACTTTTTAAACAAAAAATAAATCTTTTACTTAGTAATGAGGTAGCATTACTATAGAGGATTCATTCTCAAACAAAATGGCTGCTATGACTTTTGCCGCCTTGTATACCAATAGGAGTCAGCAAATCTTTTGTCTTCTTTTCCATTTGAGCATACTTAATTGTAGCATTGATTTGAAGGACAGACTATAGCCATTGATTTTCATAGAATTGTTCTTAGCATTAGACACAAAATCTTCATTATTTTACACAATAAGTACCAGAGCTCATACATTTTGCAAATAGATAAAAAAAAATATTTTAATAAGAAAAGTAGAGTCGTCAAAGAATGACAGAAACAAGGGGGTTCGGTGCAATCATATAATATTTATGAGTTTCATGAATAATAATAAAAATTAATTAATCAAAAATATTTATCCATGCTAGTAGTACAAATATTTTAACCCAACTTCGCAGAAAATGCTAATATTCAAACTTCAACATAAAAATTAAAAAAAAAGTTTGAGTAGGATTCACTCTGTATCAATTCATCAAAAAAGTAATGGAAACAAGAACTAGTAGGATTCTAAATGACAGATTATTCCGAACTGACTATACCGATACGAAAGAAAATACGAAACCCTGGAGGCGAAGATGTACAAGGTGTTTATTTCTTGACCTGAAAAAGCCAAAAAAGTAGCAAAAAATTATTTTTAATAAAGAAAAAAATCAAAATCTGCAGCATAGCTTTACTCAATAGTCCTGACCAGATTCGAACCACTGACCACATCCTCGCAATCCACACCAGCCTCTTCACTGCACCACCACAACCCTGATGCATCAACAATGCTGGTTGTTGTATTTATACTTGGTTTCCATAATAAATCA